AAGCTACTGTATTGTTATATTTGTTTGTCATGCTTGCCAGACCCTTTTGCATAACTTGTGAATATGTAAAAAAACAAAAAGAAATGCTTCAGATATTCACAATGTGAACATTTCATGTGAACCAAAACTGTATTAAAAAATTCACAACATTTAATGGCTCACGAGTTCACGTTTCTCATAGTCATGCTCAGGATATTGTTGATTTTTCAACTTGGGACAATGTAGATTCTTCAACCTTTACTGGAGCCAATTTACCTTGTGGTAGGGTTGCATTGCTGCGTGCCCATCCGGGAGGAACAACACGAAGCCGGGGTTTCCAAACAAGAAACTACATTTATTAAAGTAACGGCAAAAGGTTGTTAGTATTGAAGTATAACATGGCCGTAGAGTTCGATCAACAAGCCTCCGTGACCTCGGTCCGTCTCCTCCCTTCTGTGGGCGTGTCCCTTCTTTTGTAAGCTCCTGCGCCTGTACTACGTGCGCTGTTGCGCGCCTCGGACGTTGTCCGCCTTAGGCGGTCGGCAGCGGCACCTGAGCGTGGTGGCAGATCCTTGCTCCCACAACCTGTACCCACACATTTTGTAAAGCTCGATTCCTTCCGAGAAAAGATGTTGTCCAGGCATGTGAAGCAACATATTTCTCCTGGAATAGCTAAATTGTGTTGTTCTTAACCTTTCTCTTTATTGCCAATGTTCTAAAAAAACACTCAATAACTGTTTCCTATTCTTGTAAAGGGGTTTGGTGCAAGTTGCTTTGTAATTTATAATATGAACCCGCCCTATAACAAAATCCATCTCAGTCACCAACATTAAACACAAAAAACTGGTTTAGAAAAGCTTACGGGCAAGAATAACAAATTCAGCCCGCCTCACAAAGCCCTCCACTCTTTCCAATTTAGCAGAGAGAACGCTGTAAAGAAGTTGAGTGAAGAAAAAGTATGACCATCTTCAATCTCCCTATACTATGGGCGACTCAGAAGCTTATAATGCGACAGTTTGAGGTGCGCCCCCACGGCAAAACAGGGTTCATTTTGGGCACACGCCTTTTGTCAAGCATTGAAAGCAGTCTTTACGGTTCTGTAACTATGTGGTTCAACGGGACTGACATGTTTTCTTTAGCGGCAATAATGATAAATGAATAGTTCGAGGTACGGGGAACAGCTTAAAATGGCAGAAAATGGCACAAGCTTAAATTACCATTCATATGCACCACAAACTACACCCTCTCCATCTAGCACCATTCGGGAACAAATGTATTTCTGTAACTATCTGTATTCCTTAATACTTCTTCGTAGGTTTTGCAGAAGTATCTCGGGGATATCGCATTACATAAAAGACAAATATATCTCAGTGTCTGTATTTTGCGCCTTAAAACACGTCTATCTCAGTATTTGTAGTCCCGAGTACTATTCGGAGTATCACTGCCCAGCCCTGGTTTATAGAACGTTGATTTATTCTATCATTCTTATTATTTTCCAGGTACATCAGGCAAATCCACCCATCTGAAGGGCGAGACAAAACTGCCAGCAGTGGCATAGCACCGAAGTTGCGAACTCTTCTTTAAGTGCTTTGACGTACCTGTGAGTGTACCGTCCTTTCCTCAAATATACTCCTTGTCACTAGTTGTGTGCAGTGAAGCCGCAGGCAACGCGAGGCGAACAGAGAAAAGACGAGTACTACGGGAGAGATTGAAATCAGTATGATCGTTAAATAGGAGAGGAGGTTACTTTTCTCACCCGCCTTTCTAGTGCTCGCCCTTTCCCCTCGCCAGCCATTGCCTTCGCCTGTACTGCACGCAACTAGTAACTCGGAATATAGTCATTATTATGCAGATTATGATGCTCTGGCAGGTAATAGATAACTGTGGATAACATTAATCTCTTCAGTGCTTGGACACGCAGCCAGCGACTTGCTTAGACACGGCCCACAGGAAACCGGCTGCAAGCCCCCGTTCTCATTACGAGCATTACAAATGGCATGCATTATAATGATCTCATGTCGCCAATTCCGTTACGATCAAAATATCTTGAAAATTCTTAATGGAGATAAGTGCGAGCAACACGGAGTAGGAATGTGCGAACTGTCGATTGGGTGATTTGCTCTGGATGTGTTGTTCATCTTTAGAGAGATATAGACCAAAACCTGTTCGAGTGTTGTTCAATCGCCATATTATTGCGTACATTGAGTATATTTAAAACGGTGTCTTCGGCGGAACGTATGGATGGATGTCGACGGAACCATTGGGAAGGTGCTCCTTGATCCAGTTCTGACGGTTATAACAAACGCCGTTGACGCAAAACTGCAAATAGAGTAGCACGCGTTAAGAGCTGCACTAGAGTTCCTGTATAGGCTCCGTAAGGGAGCCAGAGTTGCGCGTTCATCTCCGTAGCGCCGTCTTTCCTGCACGCCATGTTTATTCCCACTCGTCAAGTAACTGAATTCGGCAAATAGCGGCGCCGCGCGTCCGAGGCCCGCGGCGCGCTCAAAAGCAGAGGAACGTACGTCGAGGCGCGTGCGACGTCTGCTTTCCTGCACGGCACTTCATCCGGCTGCTCACGTGATCGGATCTCGGCGAATAGCGGCGCGGCGGCACGTGGAAAACAGACGCGCAACTCTGGCTCTTGTACGGAGCATATACAGGAACTTTAGGCTGAACAAACAGGCCGCGCTTTCTGGCGTGCACGGCAAAAAGAGCGTGCAGGCTTCCCAAGAAACGAGAACGTTGCGGAGCGCGCGTTCGTTTTGAGTAAGGACATCAACCGTGCAAACAGAACGGCTTCCTCCTCGCCTCGTCGCTGTCGTTCTCTCCCCTTGCTTCTTTTCGGGATGCTGGCGACAGACAAGAACAGCTGAGGCCTTGATGACGGCATGCAGAGCTTCAGAGTGGCTACGTCCTAGTTCTTAAGAAGCTGACCTCCCAAAAATATTGTAAGAGCCCCCCCCCCCCCCCCCCGAATAAATGACCCCGTTCAATTTTTATACCCCCGTAAACAATTACATAACTTAATTACTAAATGACGACTTACGAAAGTGAAGCGTTCAACTTCTCCAAACTGAATTGATCCTATTCAGTTTATTTCTTACGCATTTCCCAAGCAAACCGTCCTCCCAATTTGGGGCCATTCTGAAAAGTTTCAGAACACCATTTTCATTTATATATCGTATACTAGACGTCGGAAATAATGAACGTGATTTAGCACCGTCTCTGAAACTTCACTAAAATAGATGAATGTCCAGGAGTATATATATATATATATATATATATATATATATATATATATATATATATAATTCTTAACACTGTTTACTGCAGGTAAGCGTAGTTAGATATTTGATTTGATTTTCTTATTTGCATTTGGGCACTTGAAATGATCCTTTTGATATTTATTCCTTCTTTGTGCGTTGTTAAGTAGTGGAACCACTGACCTGCACTGCAGACCACAAGACCCAGGCACTTACCATCCGCAAGCATGCCACGGCGCGAGACTACTTCTTCATAAACTACCATCGAGAGACTCGCGCCATCCTGAACAACTGGCTGCAGCCAAATTGCTGTCGCTACCACCTCCCGCTCTACCAATCAACCGGAGCGAAGGCGGCGCAAGCCGTGACGTACATCAACGGACCGCATATAAAAAGGGGAGCGCGGGACCAGGCGCGGCGCGCGACCAGAGGAACACTCGGTCTGGTTGAGCCGAGAGCTACCATTCATCTTCTCATCTTTTTAATTATATCATCTAAAACCCTACCCTGGCTTGACGTTCCTGCGTTCTCGTCCCTCCCTCCGGAACCTAACAACTGGTGGCAGCGGTGGGATCTTCTCGGCGGCACTTTTCCGGCCAGATATAGGACTTCGAGCTCCTGCTGGGGACATCGAGGCTGAGCAGCAACCCAGAGGCTGCTAGCGCGGCTTGCCACACGACTGGTCCTCGCGTGTTCAGCCGAAGAGTCAGTTCCACGGACACAAGCGTCACAGGCAGTGGAGGTGCTTGGCCCAGGCTGGACTCTAGATCGCCGTGGAGATCAAGGTGGGCTGGGGCGGACGGCGGTAGATCGGTCAGCGGGGTGAGCGGAGGATTGATTATTTTGGGCGTCAACGTCTCTTTGTGTGCGAATTAATGTTAGTTTTAAAACCCTACTACTACTCAGGTTTTATGAGCATTCACAGGGCTATGTCCGACGGGCTTATCTAGGTTATTGTGGCGCCCTGGACTTTTTCGAGTCCTTTGTAAGAGAAGCTCAGGGTTGTTGTAAAGGAAGGGTACCTTGATTCAGCAGCCTGATTATTGCGGAACTTATTTCTTTTCCTATACGATTCCTTTGAGCAAAGTTTGCGCTCAATATTGTAAAAGGTTTCTGGGAAAAGAAAGTGGTCGTGTTATATGGTAAACGCATTAACCAGAAAAGTCAAATTTTTTCAAGCACGAATTCCGTGTAGTTAGAAATCTTGTAATAACTTTGAGTCCGGTAAACTATCCTCACACTGTCATGGATCTGCTGAAACTAAGAAAGGAAGAGCTATTGGACTTGAGCAGAGCACTAGAAATTGATATTCCCAAAGCAGTCAGAAAAGCTGATCTAATCGCGGAGATAGCGAAAACGACCCCTGACGATGAAATCCAGGATGTCTGGAATAGCATTGTGGAGAAAAAAGAGAAGGAAGCGGCTTGAGAGGCTGACGAGCAAGAACAACGAAGACAAAACGAACGGCAGGCGGCTCGTGAGGCCGCCGAGCAGGAAAGGCAGGCTGATCTTAAACGGGAGGAACTGGCTCTCAGAAGGCTAGGACTAGAGCGCGGAGCGGCTGGCTTTAACGTTACTGGCTATGGTGAAGGAAGGGAATCCTTTAAGATGAGCAAATATATGCAACCATTTAAGGTAGAAGATGAAATTGGGCTATATTTAGTTAATTTCGAAAGAACGTGCGAGAGAATGTCGTTTCATCGCAACACGTGGCCGCAGAGACTATTGACATTACTTCCAGGGGAGGCGGCGGAAGTAATGGCTCGCCTCAGTACCAGTGAAGCTGCTAATTATGATGTAGTTAAGATTAGTTTGCTCCGCAAGTACCGGTTGTCTGCCGAGGCGTTTCGTTTAAAATTTAGAAATGCCACAAAGAAGCCCGGAGAGGCTTTCACGGAGTTTGAGTACTCTTTAAGAGCGAACTTAGAAGAATGGCTAAAGAGCGAAGGGGTGTTCGGGGATCACGATAAGGTGATTGAGCGGTTCTGTCTAGAGCAGTTTCTGCGAAGTATTCCACCATTCGTTCGGAACTGGTTTTTGGACCGCGAGAAACTGACCTCGGTTAGGAAAGCGGCAGAGTTAGCGGAAGAGTTCGTGACGCGCCGAGAACTCAGTCGCGAGGACAGATTTGTAACTGGTCGAAAAGACAACGAAGTTCCAAATTATGGATATCGTAAATCCGCCTTTGAAAAAGATCGACAAGGCGACCAAAGTTCAACCTCAAGGAAAGAGAAGGATATATGTGGTGACGGAGATAACGTAAAAGATAAAGAAAAGAGAGCCTTCGAAAAACGCAAGGAAATAATTTGTTTCGATTGCCAAAAACCAGGTCACATTGCATCAATGTGCAGAAAAGAGAAGGTTGCATTCTCATACGTCGTTGACACAGACGAAAACCTGGAGTTGCTCAGACCTTACTTGTACGATCTAAAGGTGAATGGCAGGGAATGTAAGGTACTAAGGGACAGTGCTGCTACCATGGACGTAGTGCACCCGTCATTCGTGAACCAGGGAGATTACACCGGTGAGTGCGCTTGGATAAAGCAAGTCGTCGAAGAGCAAAGTGTATGTCTGCCTATGGCCAAAATTAAAATTCAAGGGGCGTTTGGCGAGCTGACCACAGAGGCAGCTGTCTCACGAAATCTACCAGAACAATATCCGTACCTGTTCTCCAACAAATCAGCGAAACTTCTAGCGGATCAAGGTATAGTATTTGGTGAAGGTGTCGTTCAAGCTCTGACAAGAGCGCAAGCTCGTTAGCTTTCGCGTCACTTAACTTACGGTAAAACAGACAGGGAAGACACAACGGCAATGCCTAGCGTTTGTAGCAATGACTCGAATAAAGAAATCAATAGAACAGAGCCGGTAGAGAGTAATGGCGACGAAGTGAGCGAAGTAGAAGGTGATCGAGTCTCCCCGCAAAGAGACGGACAAGTTTTATTAGAAGCTAATCGAAAAGAGGGAGTCTTAACGTCCAAGGCTGATAGTCTGGAAGTTCTGTTGACCATAAACCGCGCAGAGCTAATTCGAGAGCAGGAAACAGACGACTCGCTGAGCCATTGCCGGGACGCTGTTTCCCTGGGAATCGCTCGAAAGAAGATAGCCTTCTTAAAAAAGAATGGGATTTTGTATCGACGGTACAGTGATCGTGGCGGGGTCACATTGGAACAAGTCGTACTGCCACATAAGTTCCGTGCAGACTTATTGGCTGTATGTCATGGCAACACTTGGACAGGACATTTAGGTATCACTAAGACAAAAAAAAGGCTTCTCCAGGACTACTACTGGCCAAATTGTTTTAAAGATGCTGAAAACTTTGTAAGATATTGTGATATTTGCCAAAGAGTCGGCAAGCCAAATGAGAGGTGGAAGGCTCCTTTGAAACTGGTTCCGATAATCACAGAACCATTTCGAAGGCTTGTCGTCGATATTGTGGGGCCATTACCCCCCACAAAAAGAGGGTTTAAATATGTTCTAACAATGCTCTGCCCAGCAACAAAGTTTCCAGAGGCTGTTCCACTGAGGGAGGTTTCCTCAGCGGCAGTTGGGGATGCTTTGCTGTCCGTTTTTGCTCGGGTAGGATTTCCAAACGAGCTTCAGACAGATCAAGGTAGTGTGTTCGTGAGCGCGTTAACGACCTTTCTAGAAAAGCTCGGCATTAAGGTGATTCACAGCTCAGTGTACCACCCACAAACAAACAGTGTAAAGAAGTGCCATTCTGTGTTCAAGCGAATGCTACGCGCTGCTTGTCTCGAGCATGCTGAAGACTGGGATAGCTGTTTGCCTGGAACAATGTTCGCTTTAAGAACAGTGCCACAAGAAGCGACAGGGTTCAGTCCCGCGGAACTAGTTTACGGGAGAACGTTGAGATCGCCATTAAGAATGATCAAAGAAGTATGGGAGGGTTCAGAGCAGGACATCATAGTAGTTGAGTACGTGTTCCGCCTTATTAATAAGCTACATCAGATGCAGGGCATCGCGGCAGAAAACATGAAGACAGCGCAAATATCTGCTAAGAAATATTATGACTGCCACACCAGGCATCGGGAATTCCAGGTTGGACAGAAGGTGATGGTCCTAAAAACATCTAGGAAAAACAAGTTAGAAGTTCACTGGGAAGGACCTGCAACAGTTAAGGAGAAACTGTCGGACACAAATTATGTAATTTCAAGACAAGGAAAGAAAACTAATATCTATCATTGCAATTTGCTGAAACCCTATATCATGAGGGAGAGTACGGTCAACTTCTCTCTTGGGGAAGTGGAGGAAATACACTTACAAGAAATTCCGAAGCTTGAAGTGCCCTCTCAAGCACTTACTACAGAGGAAGTAATTGGGGTCTCTGTAAAACTGTCAGAACTAGACGGGAGCCAAGTTGCAGATCTAAGAAAGGTCTTAGGAGAATTTCAGGATTTATTTATAAACCGGCCGGGTCACACTACACTCGTCACTCATGATATAGAACTAACATCGGATGTGCCGGTTCGTTCAAGGCCATACAGAGTGTCACCGCGTCAGAAAGAGATCCTCAGATCTGAGATCCAGACAATGCTAGATTTGGGAGTCATTGAGCCCTGCGAAAGTGATTATATGTCACCTATGATCTTAGTAGAGGCACCGGGGAAAGATCCCAGACCATGCGTTGATTACCGTAGATTAAACCTCATAACAAGAGATCAAACTTATCCGATCCCGAATATCGAAGACCGAATTGAGCGGGTCAGTTCAGCCAAGTACATTTCGACTATAGACTTAGAGAGAAGCTATTGGCAGGTTCCGATGACGGAGCGTGCCAGTAGATATGCGGCATTTATTTCTCCGATCGGGACATTTCGTCCCCTCATGCTGAGTTTCGGACTGAAAAACACACCGTTTTGTTTTTCAAGATTAATGGATGTGGTTCTAAGGGGCACGGAAGAGTTTGCTTTGCCTTACTTAGATGATATAGCCATTTTCTCGGAATCTTGGGAAGAACATTTGGTCCACTTGCATACTGTCTTGGAGCGCATTCGCAATGCCGGTCTTACCATTAAGGCAAAAAAATGTCACTTCGCGATGGCAGAAGTGACCTACTTGGGACACATTGTCGGTCAGGGACTTCGCCGGCCCACAGAAATTAAGATGTTGGCCGTGAAGGAATTTCCTCGACCCAAGACACAGTCGGATATAAGAACGTTCCTGGGGTTAACAGGATACTATCAAAGATTTATCAAAAATTACTTACAAATGGCGAGTCCGCTCACGGATGCACTCCGAAAGACAGAACCAAAAGTGATTGTTTGGACGGATCAAATGGAGCAGTCATTTAGTGGCCTTAAAGAATCACTGACGACTAAACCAGTGTTAAGAGCCCCTGATTACACAAAACCCTTCATTGTTCAATGCGACACCAGCAACCGAGGTATTGGCGTGGTGCTGTGCCAAAAGGATGAGAACGGCAATGAGCACCCAATTTTATACGCCAGCCTAAAACTGACTTGTCGTGAGGAGGCCTACAGTGCCTCCGAGAAGGAATGCGCGTGTTTAGTATGGGCAGCTCAAAAACGTAGTTGTCATTTAGATGGAACTAGATTTGTATTTCAAACAGATCACTGCCCTTTAACTTGGCTTCAGCAGATGTCATCGAAAAGTGGAAGGTTGCTGAGGTGGAGTTTAGCTCTACAGCAATACAACTTTACAGTTGAATACAAAAAAGGTCGGGATAATACAAACGCGGATGCGTTGAGTCGTATGTAGACTAACACGCAACCACTTTCTATTTGCTAAATGCGAGTAACGACGTAAACTAATACGGAGCACCGACTACAAGGGAATTGTATAGGGATCAAACAAAATTTGTTTTATTTGGATCTGAACACATACATCACAGCGACTAATTCCTCCATGGGATTTGCAGATGACTAGAAAGAACAGAGCGCTACCCCAATACACTCTAATTTTGCTTTGTTTACATGAACGCCTTAGCATAGTCCCCATGCAAGTTTGCGAAACAGAATAGAGAGACACACAAGGTGACCTTGAGCGTGCGGGGGTCTGTCTTCGCTCGCTCCGCTGTCTCTGTCTCTGTCTGTCTGTTGCGGCCTGCTGCGTCTCGGCGGCGTTCTGGAGGTCTCTCGACCGGCCAGTTGCAAGCTGGCAAAGTCCGACAGACCACTTTGCCGGCGCGGAAGTTGTTAAGTAGTGGAACCACTGACCTGCACTGCAGACCACAGGACCCGGGCACTTACCATCCGCAAGCATGCCACGGCGCGAGACTACTTCTTCATAAACTACCATCGAGAGACTCGCGCCATCCTGAACAACTGGCTGCAGCCAAATTGCTGTCGCTACCACCTCCCGCTCTACCAATCAACCGAAGCGAAGGCGGCGCAAGCCGTGACGTACATCAACGGACCGCATATAAAAAGGGGAGCGCGGGACCAGGCGCGGCGCGCGACCAGAGGAACACTCGGTCTGGTTGAGCCGAGAGCTACCATTCATCTTCTCATCTTTTTAATTATATCATCTAAAACCCTACCCTGGCTTGACGTTCCTGCGTTCTTGTCCCTCCCTCCGGAACCTAACGGCGTGTGGTGTTCCTCTATTTTCCAGAGAAAATCGAGGGTATACTTCCAGTAGATAAATTATAGTAGGACACACAATTTGGCGCTTGAGTGGGTCTTTATAGCTGTGTATTTTTACTGTGTTTTCGTCCTTGTGTGTTGTTATTCTCGAGTCTAAATAAAACATACATTCAATCTTAATCTGGAAAATCATTTTGGCAAAAAAAATATTCACATATTTTCCGAAGTTCGGCAGTAAGGGTTGGCGGTGATGGGAGTCGGCTGTGGTGCTGAGTACCTACTAACCTGCTACAGTAGTTGTACCCCTTTGACTAAGATTTGTTAGTCACCGAAAAAAATCGGGGTAACAAATTTAAACATGACCGGTGAATACAAAGTGCTTACTTATTTACGATTACCACCTGCCATGTGGTAATTTTAGTCAAAGGTGGTTAGTCAACAGTTAAACTGGTCACATTTGGTAAGTATGATTGATGATTTTCAATGCTGGAATCAGTGGCCCATCAAGTGCTCCATATGCCTCTTAGAAAATCAAATATTTATTTACAGTGTCTTTAAATTGGGGATGATAGGTTTCAATTTCATATCACATGATTTCCACATTTGTTTGTTCCAGGCCGGCAGCGCAACCCACCCGGTGGTTTTCAGCTCAAGCCTAATTAATCCTGAGGTGCCCAGCTATGTGGCAGTGGAGGGAGACCTCGAAGCCGCGTCGCCTGCTGAGGAAGTCCTAGTTGCATTCTGCCTCTACTTCATCTTTAACTTTGAGTAGCATCACCAGTTCAGGCGCAGATTCATTGCATTGGAGTACTTAATTGCTCTAAAACACCCAAAAGCGGAGTCACGTACACCGCATTGCTTTCAAACCTAAAAGAAATGTCAAGAAGTATTTTCTTTTTTTAATGCCTTTTTATGCAGGATTAGGCATTTTTTATGTCGACTGTTTAATACTTTTTTCTCTCTCTCACATAAGGCATGATGGTTGATTCTCGTAGTTACAGAAGGGCAATACTATTGCTTTATTGTCACATTTTCGCAACTTCCAAAATCACTGCTTTTTGCTTTGTGCAGCATTGGCATACGTAATTTATTTCGGTCTACTTCATACACGGTGCCTGAAAGCATTTGAGGGTTGTGGTTTCATGTCCACAGTGATTTGTGCTTGCAAAGTTTATTTATTTATTTATTTATTTATTT